CCTTAATTTTTTACATTGTTTAAAAGCTTAAAATAAAAATTATACAATTAATTTCGCAACAAATTGGCATTTAAATAATTACAATGGTTGCTTAAACAGATCTCAATGCAGTAAGATTTATAGAGGGATTTCAAGAACCACACGATCTGCAAGTAAACTAGCAATACCAGAAAATCTGTTAGAAACTCTCAATATCCAAAATTTGGAAGTAGTATTTTAAGCCGACTACCAATTTCAGACGATTTGTAAGCGATTCTCTATACCAGAAAATTTGTAAACGACTACTTCTTTCAACAATATCAATTTTAAGCAAACTATCAATACCAGAACATTTTTAGGAAACCATTAATATGAGTATATATTTATGCAGAGATTTGTAAGAAATTACTGATACCAGAATATTTGTAAGCGATTATCAATACCAGAAGAATAGTAAAAAAGCAGACTATATATATATCAATAACGGAATATTTGTAAGCAGACTATGAATATTTAACGATTTCTAACAAAGCTTAATACCATTAATAGCAGTCCTCAAGGACAATAGATTTTAGCAAATGATACTTCCTAAGCGACTATCAATACCAGAAGATAATATGATTTTCTGCGGAGAGAAGTTCAATTCAACCATATATTTGGCCCTTAGTCAAAGTAACAGATTTTGTGGTCATTTCGTTGGATCCGTATATCAGAGGGAAGTTTTACTAATTACAAGATAGAATGTCTCAATGACAAACTATTCTAGCGATATGAGTACCAGATATACCTATTGGAATGAATCCATGGAAGTGGTATTTTTCTGAAACTATGGTGATATTTAATCGTAAAAAAAAAAAGATATAAGTATTTTTACCAATTCAACTCTTATTATTTTTAAAACATTCTGAATGATTTTGTTAAGCAAACGAGGCTGTGATAGCTTGTAGGCGTTGATGTCTAACTGTCTCAACATATGTAGACAGGTGGTTTAATCACAGTGTGACTTTGTTATAATCTGAAAATGAAAAGAAATAGAAAACTACTATGCTATTTACCCTTCCCGTCTTTAGTGTTATATAGCGTGAAAATAATATATAAATCTAGAACGCACTAAATACATAAAGATTCTGCACAATATGTTAATGATAATCGAATCTATTTAGTTCAAAACCCTTCTTTTTCTAACTTAAATAATTTCTTACTGTTATTTTTACAAGAAAAAAAGTATTGGAAGAGGGCCTGGATCATCAATAGAGAACACTCCAAGCGACCTCGCCAGTTTAATGGGAAGGTTCGCAACTGATCAGCCAAACCCGACCAACCACCGGAGACGCTAGGGGGCTGTTTTATTTTGTAAAAAGAAAGTTCCCGCTGAAAACTTTCAATTCCTATAGAACACATTATCAGGTGTGTGTGGTATAGAGCAATTTGGGCGACTTTGACCAAGTCGGAGACCTCTTGAGGAAGAAGTGAAGAGGAATCCAATCTGCAGATAAAAATGTCCAATTAGAGATCTGAAGAGGTCGTGATAACAAGGCTGACAAAGGTACCTCGCTCAAATCAGGCGCGATAAACTTGGCCTTGTTTGCATTTAGTTTGCGATTTTTGGGAATCTCTTATTAAATTAGTGACCGGATCGATGCCGGTAGAATAGGGTTAATGAGGGACTTAATTAAATACCCAAGGTTTGGGGGAATGATATCTTCTCTTTCATTCTCTCCATCTGTTTTCTTTATACATGAAGTATAAATGCCTGGAAATTTCTTGGATAATGAATACTAACGCTTAAGTGTGGGCCGACCCTTAAAATTTATAATGGAGTTAGATGTTTGAAACTGGAGATTTTCAGGACTAGCAACTATACAACATAGAAGAATTAGGATATTTATCTGTGACAAAATTCTGATTATATTTTTAACTTCATATGTGAATAGATAACTAAATTTTACGTGGCTTCGTATTGTTTTAAATTTTTGATGCGGTCAATAACGTGAAGTTTAGTAACCCGCCACTCTCTCGAGATTCCATGATCCATAAGCACACGTACAGAATGGAATAATATAGCGAATTTTTATTATCTATTTTTAAACGTTGAATTTTATTCTAATGATGCATTTTTTAAAAGGAATACCGAGGATATTTTGTTTATACTTGGTTATCTCGTGTGTCTTCAATAAAAGTCACTGTGTTACAAATATATTTCAGAGTTATTGTCTGAATTCCGAAATACATGCTCAAAGGTACAACTTCCTTAATTCCATGAGTGTATATAATGCGCCGTATGGTTAATCCGTCCACAAACCACAAAAAAATACGATACAGTTTTTATGGGCAGAGTGTTTTTTTCCAACGGAGATTGAAAGGATGCCGCCCGTTTACAGCGAGCAGTAATTTCCCCACAGTCCCGACTTGCTCGGGCCGTTACAGAGAAACGAGGAGCCACCGCACAATGGGATGAGGGAAACAAAGAGATTGGCTGCATTCTTGGCCAAAATTTTTCATCAATTATAGAGTTGATAATCCACCCATACTTTTGGAGTCATCTTCTACTTGTTAACAGCGTTTATATTTAATAAAATATACTTTCATTCACTTTTCTGAAAGACAGTATTAAACGTATTGACTTCACTAAATCGCTCTATATGCTTCCTTTAATGGATATTACGATAGTAAGAGTGATTTTGAGAATGAATTTTACATAGAACAACAATATTCGCATTAAAGTGAATGTAGAAAATATATTTTAAAATGATTATTCTGATTCTGTTCTGTGCGCGTACGTAGGGCTTGGGGAAATTCGAGGGGGTCGGGGCACCTAACTTACTTATTAGGGCATCAAGTTTCTTTTATTTGCTTTATATATAAAACACTAGACGAATGACCCGGCTTCGCCCGAGAATTCCCCCGAGTGCAATTTCCTTCATACTGAAAGTACATCAATAATAAATAGTAGAAGTGCCATAGAATAGCAATACAGAAGTAACACATAAACCACAGGCAAAAGTGTGGCGTGATGGCAAAAATTGTATTATAATAGTGTTTAGGTATTTGATTTGATAATTTTTTACAATCGTTTTAGTTGTTTATAAATCAATGTAGTTTAAATAGATAGCAGCTTTTTCACCCAACCCCCGAGATACCCCCCCCCCCCCCCCAGCGCATTAACCCTTGAAATTGCCAGAGTCGAGTGAGTGACTGCGATGGATCTTGACTGCGATGCCCATCTTCTCAGTAAGAATAAGAAAAAATAGGTTTATAAAAAAAATTAATCCAAAATACTGGCATGTAAATATTTTTCTGTAAAAAATAAAAAAGAACATGGAAATTAGGCAAACATATGTGTTTGCTAATGACTGCGACTGCATTTAAACAATTTTTAAAAAAAGAGATAAAAACAAAGGCCAGAACAAAAATTAATAAAAAATATGAAAGCCATTATTTACATACTATAACCCTAATTTTGTAAGTTTTTTTTTTATTTCATTGTGTGCACTTACCGTAACTTAGTAATATAAATTTTTCTCTCAATACTCAATACTTTTGTAAAAAAAAGTATCACTCGTATAAGAAGATATTTGAAATAAAATAAAAATAAACGGTAGCAATACGTTTCTTTATACGTGAAATTTTATGCAAGCTTTCGGATATTTTCAATCCTTCCACAGGCCAAGCTGTAAGCCGAGAGAAAGAGTATATATAGATGTACAATATTATTTACATACATCTAACAAAAATAAAAATAAAAAATGAAATAAACATTTTCATATATAAATTTACATATTCAAAAATTTAGACGCAAGTAAAATTCTATCTATATGCAAACAAAACAGAAATTGAATATGGCATATGGGGCTATGGTTGTGATGGTCAAACTGGGGAAGATGAGGAAGGATCTGGTGAAAAGGAAGGGCTGGGTTGTTTTTTCCTGAATGAATGGTACTGAGATGGTAGTTCTATACGCCTGTTGATGCTGTTCAAATCATGAGAGACGAAGGATTCTATTAATAATCTTTGATGTTTGGATCTGATGTTATGGTAATGACAGATTGGGTCGGAAAGGTTAAAAGCATGGCCGGTTTTTGAGGTGTGCTGAAAGATCAAAGATTTGGGATCTTTGTTTATTAAATTTCTGTTATGCTCGGAAATTCTGTTATAAATGAAGCGGCCAGTCTGACCCACATATGTTGCGTTGCAATCTTGGCAGCCTATGGAGTATATGGCATATATATGGTTGCTGGTCGAGACGTTTCTTAATATTGGATCTGCTGATGGGGTTCCGGAGTATTTGGCCTATTGAGAGGTGGTTGGTGAAAAAGGTTCTTAAACCATATTTTTTAAGGGAGTGGGCTATTGATTGATTTGCAAAAGAATAAGGTATAATGCAGGTGTTACGGTTTACTGCGGGCTGAGTGTATTTGGAAGGGTTAAAACTATGTCTAAGTATAAAGGGAAGTGGATAGCCTCTTGATGTTAGATTACTGATGATGGTTTTCTTTTCTATTTTTTTTAAAGCTGGGGTGGAGCAGTGTGTATGTATTCTTTTCGTGAGTGTTCTGACGACTGTGAGTTTGTGGCCTATTGGGTTATATGAATCAAAAAGGAGATAGGATGGTTTTATGGATTTTTTATAATAAACTGTTGTGTGGTATGATTCATCAGTTTTGATAAAAGGAATGTCCAAATATGGCAGAACTTTGTGCGACTCATGTTCTATTGTAAATTTGAGACGTGTATGGCAAGAATTTAGAGTTTTTTACAACCAATAGGGCGTCATCCTTGTGGCATATGCAAAAAATATCGTCCAGGTACCTCTTCCAAACTTCTATTCGGAGATGTTTCTGTCCAAAAATCCAGCTGTCAATGGCGCTCATGACGAGCTCTGCCGCAATGTTGGATAAAGGGCTGCCCATTAGGTGATCCACAGATTTGTTTAAAAAGCTGAAGTTAGATGTTGCCAAACATGATTCAATCATTAAAATGATTCCTTCTGTTTCAGGGTTCGGGATGCTGTGTGAAGAAAGCAATGAACGGAGGTTTTCTATAATTAGGCTGTGTGGGAGAGAGAGAAACAAGGAGGTGACATCATAGGAGCACATTGTGAAATCTTGTTGTGGTTTTAATGCTCTTATTTCTTGAATAAAGGCTGAGGTGCTATTAATATACGTCACCACCCCCAGCATTGAAGTAGCAATGACGTCGTTCAATAATTCACAGAAAAACTCAATACGAAACCTGGTTTCCTCAAAGATAACTAACCAAAAACGCCCCTATGCTGCAACTACCCGAAAATATGCTACTGCCATCAAAGAATTGAAAGCCAACCACAACATAGTCATCAGTAAAGCTGACAAAGGTTCTAATGTCGTCATATTAAACAAAGTTGACTACAGAAAGAAGATTCTTGACATCGTTGAGGATAGAGATACCTTTGCACCTTCACGGCTCCAGACAACCTTCAATACATTTAGAATTTCAAAAAAACACTAACTTCTCTCAAGAAGAATAAGATGATCACCGAAGACCAATTCAAGACCTTCAATTCAAACAGCGACACCCTACCATATATCTATGGACTTCCTAAGATCCACAAGCCTTCAGTCCCATTCGTTCCATAATTGCCTATCACTTGTCCCCCGCCATACAGCTCTCCAGATATCTGTCCTCCCGCCTTTCACCCTTGATCCGACCCTCTAACCCCCATTCTATTAATAGCACCTCAGCCTTTATTCAAGAAATAAGAGCATTGAAACCACAACAAGATTTCACAATGTGCTCCTATGATGTCACCTCCTTGTTTCTCTCTCTCTCCCACACAGCCTAATTAGAAAACCTCCGTTCATTGCTTTCTTCGCACAGCATCTCGAACCCTGAAACAGAAGGAATCATTTTAATGTTTGAATCATGTTTGGCAACATCTAACTTCAGCTTCAAAGATCAGCTTTTTAAACAAATCTGTGGATCACCTATGGGCAGCCCTTTATCCAACATTGCGGCAGAGCTCGTCATGAGCGCCAATGACAGCTGGATTTTGGGACAGAAACATCTCCGAATAGAAGTTTAGAAGAGGTACCTGGACGATATTTTTTGCATATGCCACAAGGATGACGCCCTATTGGTGTTAAAAACTCTAAATTCTTACCATACACGTCTCAAATTTACAATAGAACATGAGTCGCACAAAGTTCTGCCATATTTGGACATTCTTTTCATCAAAACTGATGAATCATACCACACAACAGTTTATTATAAAAAATCCATAAAACCATCCTATCTCCTTTTTGATTCATATAACCCAATAGGCCACAAACTCACAGTCGTCAGAACACTCATGAAAAGAATACATACACACTGCTCCACCCCAGCTTTCAAAAAAATAGAAAAGAAAACCATCATCAGTAATCTAACATCAAGAGGCTATCCACTTCCCTTTATACTTAGACATAGTTTTAACCCTTCCAAATACACTCAGCCCGCAGTAAACCGTAACACCTGAATTATACCTTATTCTTTTGCAAATCAATCAATAGCCCACTCCCTTAAAAAAAAATATGGTTTAAGAACCTTTTTCACCAACCACCTCTCAATAGGCCAAATACACTGGAACCCCATCAGCAGATCCAATATTAAGAAACGTCCCGACCAGCAACCATATGCCATTTACTCCATAGGCTGCCAAGATTGCAACGCAACATATGTGGGTCAGACTGGCCGCTTCATTTATAACAGAATTTCCGAGCATAACAGAAATTTAATAAACAAAGATCCCAAATCTTTGATCTTTCAGCACACCTCAAAAACCGGCCATGCTTTTAACCTTTCCGACCCAATCTGTCATTACCATAACATCAGATCCAAACATCAAAGATTATTAATAGAATCCTTCGTCTCTCATGATTTAAACAGCATCAACAGGCGTATAGAACTACCATCTCAGTACCATTCATTCAGGATAAAACAACCCAGCCCTTCCTTTTCACCAGATCCTTCCTCATCTTCCCCAGTTTGACCTTCACAACCATAGCCCCATATGCCATATTCAATTTCTGTTTTGTTTGCATATAGATAGAATTTTACTTGCGTCTAAATTTTCGAATATGTAAATTTATATATGAAAATGTTTATTTCATTTTTTTATTTTTATTTTCGTTAGGTGTATGTAAATAATATTGTACATCTATATATACTCTTTCTCTCAGCTTACAGCTTGGCCTGTGAAAGGATTGAAAATATCCGAAAGCTTGCATAAAATTTCACGTATAAAGAAACGTATTGCTCCCGTTTATTTTTATTTTATTTCATACTTTATAGCAATTCTTTTGTCTATTTACAAGAAGATATTAAAAAAAAAAAAGTACGCAAGCAACTTGAAAAAAAAATGCAGAACGCTCATTGACCGCTTAATTGGCCTGGTGTTGTTACTTGCCTCGTATTTACTCCGCGTAAAAAAAAGTTCTTCAAATGAAAAAATAAATAAATAGCTAAAAATACTAATCAAAATGTAGCCGAATATTTTCCTCAGGTTTATGAAAAGCGACATGCAAAATTTGGTACCAATTGGTTCAGTAGTTTTTAGTTTATCGTGAAACGGACATTGACTTTTATATATAAGATAATAATAATATAAATGAGTTTTAAAAATTGTAACAAAAAAATGCATCGGCCGGGATTCGAACCCCGGCCGCCCGCGTGGCAGGCGAGCATTCTACCACTGAACCACCGATGCTTATAAGAAATGGCCATATTTGGGTATTTATTCCATTCACAAAATCAAACGATGACAGAATTGATTGTTGATGACTCTGATAACGTCCTCGCGAAAATGGCACAGTGCCCGCAGGACGTATATTAACGTCCTACTTTCTTAAAAATCGGTATAAAATCATAGCGCGCGCTACGTCCCGTGGCCACTTGCCCTCCTGCAAGTTTAAACATGCCTCAAGGTCGTTCACCACTTTGCCACATGATAGGGTGGATGGCTGACCAATTAAATTGAGTTTTGAGCGCGCGCTTCCTCGAGTTTCCTCCCCTCCCAACCTCTACTGACCTATTTTTAATCTGCCGTCATTTGGCAATTGTACTTTGCGCGCTTCTTCTTGTCACTTTTTTTTTTTTGCTTAATATTTTTATTTGAAGTTTCTAGATATTTTCAATAGACATGTTTGTATAAAAATGAATCCTGATCAGCCCAGTACATCCAAAGTTATCTCCTCTTGCCCATCTCCAGAGTGGGAGATTTACGACCCCCATCTTTTTGATTTTGGATCAGAATTAGATGATTCTTTTGAGGATCCAGATTTCACACTCCATGCTAACTCTGATGAAGATATTGATTCGGACTCAACAGAAATATATTTTGAGGGACCAAGAGATGAAGAGGCTCCTTTAACAACAAGGTCTCCTCTGGTAAGTGATGACTGGATTGAAACTACTACATCCACGATACCCAGACCTCTGTTTACTGCCCAACCTGGACCAAGGGCCGAGTTATTTCCAGAACCCAACTCTCCTTACCAGATATTCAAAAAATTTATTGATGAGGATTTTTTTGGTAATCTGAAACTTGAGACTAACCGCTATGCTAGGGCAACCATAGACAGAGAAAGAAAAAAGGGTCCTTTGAATCCTAGGAGTCATTTGGAAATGTGGAAAGCTGTTTCTGTGTCTGAGCTCAAGATATTTATGGCAATAATAATTCACATGAGCCTTGTTGTAAAGACCAGATTGAAAGATTATTGGTCAACCCGCAGTGAACTTAGGACAACTTACTGCAGAGATGTGGGGATGATCAGACCACGGTTTGAAGCCATTCTCTCCATGCTTCACCTAAATGACAACGCTTCCTATGTGGCTTTTGGTCAACCAGGCCATGATCCTCTCCATAAAATTAGGACATTCCTTGATCCTCTGGTCCACAAATTCAAAACATATTACTATCCCTGCCAACCTTTGACTATTGACGAAGCTATATGTCCTTTTAGAGGAAGAATACGGTTCAGAATATATATCAAAGGAAAGCCACACAAATATGGGATCAAGATATTTGAACTTTGTGAATCAATTTCAGGATATGCCTGCAACATAGAAGTGTACACGCGGAAGCAGCCTGGTCAAGGTGCAGACTACAATTCGACCTTAAAACTGGTGGAAAGGATAGCGGCTCCATACTTCAATAGAGGACATGTTATATACTTTGACAGATGGTTCCCCTCTACCACACTTTTTCAATTTCTCTGGAGAAACAATACCCAATCTGTAGGAACAATAAAGAAAAATAGAAGAGGCTTGCCAAAAAAATGAAAAAAGGAGAGGTAATTTACAGAATGAAAGGTCCTCTTTTGGCATTCAAATGGCATGATACTAGGGACGTTTTCATGGTCTCCACAGCACATGATCATGCCATGATACCTGTAACCAACAAAGCCAGGAAATCTGACCAACCTCTCACCATGAAACCAGCTGCAGTATTGGACTACAACAAGCACAAGGCTGGTGTTGACAGAAGTGACCAGCTCCTCTCTTACTACTCTTTTCAGCGGAGAACTATGAAATGGTGGAAAAAGCTTTTCTTTCACATCTTTGGCCTAACAATAGTCAATTCTCATATAATTTATAATAAATTAAATCCAACATCCAAACTGTCACTCCGAGACTACCATCTTGTCATTATGGAAAAAATGGTTGAAGAAGCCGGAGTTGAGATCACAGATCAACAACTTGGTAGTTCAAGCTCAAAAGCCAGACTTTTGGAGAGACACTTCATTACAAGAATAAAAGAAGAAAACAAGCCAAATGTAAATATCCGACGAAAATGCAAAGTCTGTGCTGAAAAGGGAAAAATTGTCACTGGAAAAAGAATAAGGAAGGACACTGCTTATATGTGCAAGACCTGCCTTGTTCCTCTGTGTATAAATGATTGTTTTGAGGCCTTTCACACCGAGGAGAAGTATTGGCTCTAATTGGCTCTTAGAAATGGCCTTTATAAATAGTTTTTACTAATTTTTGTTGGGAGAATCTTAATAAATTACTCTCTATTAAAACTTAAAACTTCTTTATTGAAGGCACAAATAACTATGAATTTAAATTACTATAATAAAACTAAATACTCTTACACCTGAACGTCTCCTCATATACTATCTCCCACACTCACTCAAAGAAATACATATATTTTTATACACACAACACCACAGAATAAATTAGATCACAGATTAATTAAATCATAGAATGAAAATGAATATTTTAAATAATAAATATCAACAAATCTCCCCTTCAAATTTTCAATTTTCATTCCTCAAAAATAACTCCACCACTTATGCAGCTATTAATCTTGACAGCATCCACACTCTTGGTGAGATGGTCTGCTTTCATTTCTTCTTAATTCAGTGCTTCTTGGTAATCTTTCGGACGTTTAATTTCATAAGTTCTATCAGAAACATTTTCCTTATTTTTCATTAGTCTTAATCTTTCAGATCTCCTCACACCCTTTTTTATAAGTTCTTCTTCCTCGGTTTCTCTCAAACGAAGATCTCGTTCATTTCTCATTTCTCTCGTCATTCCTGGTTCTGGTCCTCTTCTACGTAGAGTAATTATTTCATCAGGAGGTATTTCATCTATTTCACTCAAATCTACATCATTATCATCTTGAGGAATATGCTCATCATCGATGTTAAAGTTTTCTACTTGGTCTTCTCTATTACCACCAGAGTCTTCATTCCCGTGAGAAATCAAATTTTGGTCTTCTCTACTAAAAAAGAAAAGTTCATTTTTATCAAGATTTCTACCACTATTATTCATTAAATAATATCCCAACTTAGCTTCATTAAATTTAACAACTGATACTTCATGTATTTCATTAATTTCTGGTAAATATATTCTATAGCCTTTTCTTATCATACTGTATCCCATCATGATCCCTTTATGAGCTTTTGGTTCAATCTTCTTTCTCTTTTCTTTTCTTATATGAACATAAGCTTCGCTTCCGAACCTTTTTAAATAAACAATTTTTGGTTTCCATCCCTTGTATATCTCGAAAGGAGTTGTATTCATTTCTTTGATTTTTATTCTATTATTTATATGAGAACAGCCACTTTAACACTTTCACTCCAAAATTTTAAAGGTAATTTAGAATCAATTAGCATGGTTCTTGCTGACTCAACTATGGTTCTATTAAATCTTTCGGCTTTTCCATTACTTTAAGGAGTATAAGCTGTGGTGAATTCTTGTTTGATGCCCTTACTAGATAACCATCGCCTCAAATAATTTGAAATATACTCTCCACCATTATCATTTCGAATTCTCTTCAATTTCTTTCCAGTCTGTCTTTCTTCTTGCATAATCAAGTTTATTATGGAATCTGCTGTTTGAGATTTATTAGCAATTGGTATAACGAAAGTAAAATTACTATAGTCATCAACAATAGTGATGAAATACTTATATCCAAAAGAATCATTCAACGGTCCAACTATGTCGGTATGCCATAGATCCAAAATATCTTCAGATTGTTTATATTGAATACTTTTGTAAGATTTTCTATGTAATTCTCCCAATGTACAAGATTCGCAATTCCCTTTGTTATTATGTAAATTTTTCAATCCTAATACAGTTGAATTATCATACATTTCTTTCAATTTCTGAAAATTTTTATGAGCAAGTCTTTGATGCCATAGCATATCATCTACTTCTGCTTTTCTAGCGATTTCCATATTTAGGAGTCCCTCTACTTCAAATTTATCACCATTTCTTTTTGCTTCATATAAAATCTCACCATTTTTGTCTATTACTTCAGCTTTATATTTACTAAATAATACATTAAAATCATGATCTATAATTTTTGTTACTGATAATAAATTTTCTTTTAAATTAGGTACATGCAAAACATTTTCTACTTTTATTAATCTCTCATTAACATTCGACTTCATTCTTATTGATCCAATCCCTGATGATTTCATTATTGTACCTTTCTCAGCTGTCGCTATAATTCTCTCTTCCTCTCTATATTCTATAAATTGTTCTTTTTTACTAACCATATGGCTAGAGGCTCCAGAATCCATATTCCATCTATTTTTTTCTTCCCTTTCGTAATTTGCTTCATTTGTTTCTATCACATGACTTGTGGTTTCACTATTATATTTCCTGTTTGTTACTCTTTTAGGCCCATAATAATTATACTTTGCATGACATTCATTTCTATACTCTTTACATATTTCCGATATATGCCCAAATCCTCCGCAATTAAAATATTTTATATTATTTCTACATTCTTTAGAGATATGACCTATCTTTCCACAGTTATAGCACTTAATAGCAAAACTTCGTCTTCCCGATCGGCCTTCTCTAGCTTTAGATGCAATCTCCTGTTTTTCTACTTTTTCTAGTTTCCTATATTTTATTTTTTCCTCAGTTTCCTTTAGGATTTGTCTTATTGAATTCATATTATTTTGCCTGTCAGATTTTATGATTTTTACGTCAAAATCAAATTCTATTCTTAAACCTTCTAAAACGAAGCAAATCAACTATTCTATTTTTCATTTGCATATCTTCATTCTTAGATGCCATTTCTTCTTTAATGCTATACCATAATCGTTTTGCACTTCTTTCACTTGAATATTTTAAAATTTGAGTGTCATTCATAGTTCTGTTCATCACATTTCTTGCAATTGCATTGTCGTCATCCCAATCTTCCCAGATTTTCACTTTTTGTTCAAATTTTTCGTCTGTTTCTATAGGCTTTTCTATCTCTTTTCCTTCTATTATACGTCTCCATAATTTTAATCCTCTTAGTTCGCTTTCTATTCTGTTTGCCCAGATCAAGTAGTTTTTGTCTGATAGTTTTTCTATTGGAGATAAGTTAAAATTTTGCATCTTTTCTTTTTTCTAAAAATTATTCAATTAATCTTGATTTGCCTCAATTTAAATTCAACCGCTCTCTGCTACCAATTGTTGGGAGAATCTTAATAAATTACTCTCTATTAAAACTTCTTTATTGAAGGCACAAATAACTATGAATTTAAATTACTATAATAAAACTAAATACTCTTACACCTGAACGTCTCCTCATATACTATCTCCCACACTCACTCAAAGAAATACATATATTTATATACACACAACACCACAGAATAAATTAGATCACAGATTAATTAAATCATAGAATGAAAATGAATATTTTAAATAATAAATATCAACAATTTTCAGCATGTTTTTTGTATATATAACATTTGTCTATGTGTTGGAGTGAATTTAGTTTTTTTTATATAATTTTTAATTTTTTATTATTTTTATTTCTTTATCAAAATTCATTTTATATAGCATTAAAAATAATTTTAAACCTTATATATATTGGCTTATAAATTTGGCATATATTACAAAAATAAATATATTAAATTTTATTTTTCATAAAAGTGTCGTTTTTACTGCGTCCTGGTGGACCATGAGGTCTGCTTAGGCTGCGTCCTCGAAGTGTTAACGCCACTTTTACAAAAATATATATTTTACAACTGATTGGCCGGCCAGCTCGCGCTTGCGTCCGCTAGACCAATCAGAAGCATAAGGGGAACTTTGCCGCTCGCCTCCGACTGCCGGCGAGGCTCCATATCTCCCTGCGCACACGCAATAATGAATAAAAAGAAACGAACTGCGTATGTGACATCAGATGGAAACTAGAAGTAGTAAAGACCCAATGAGCAAGAGGAAAAGCAGGCACCACATCTATAAATTTAACAAGCCCTAGGATTATACATACTTGCATTTGGTAAACCAATTTCTTCCTGAATTGTTTCGCATTACCGATAATATTTTCTTTCTTTGCTCACCTGAAATTTCAAAACTTTATTATTATTTATTTTTTGCTTCCTGCATCGCCAACAAATTACTTTTTTGCTCGCTTGTATATTCAGAACTCGGGATCAAATTAATGATTTTGATCGAATTTTGGCTTTATTCTTCGGATTTATTTCAGTCAGACTGGGTAGAGGCTTGTTCAGATAGCCGTCAAGCCACACCCGCTTAGCCCAAACAAGAAATGCCAGCCAGTATACCACACCAGAGTAGACCAGCCAGCCAAGCATGGCAACACTTAGGGAATCCTGGTAGCTAGCTATGCCAGACTTCACCAGCCTAGCCGGCTAGCTAATCCAAGCCAAATTAGCAAAGCCCAGCCAACCAAACTCTAACACAACCCAGGAAGTCCAGCCATCCGTATCTCACCAGGGTAGTGTCTCCAGTCAGTCAGGAATAGCCACATTAGAATAGCTTAACCATCCAAGCCAGGCCATGCAAGCGATAGCCAAATGAAGCTACAAAGGTGTAGCCTGGCCGGATCAAGTCTGCCAGCCCAGCAAGGCAAAAATATTGCCTCTAATCTGAGACAGGTCAATCAGGCTACAATAGAGTATCCAAGCCAGGCCACACCTTGGTAGTCCAGCCAGTCTAGCCAAACCATAACAACGAGCATAGCCAGGCTTACCTGAGTAGTCCAGTAGTCTAGCCAAACCATAACAACGAGCATAGCCAGGCTTACCTGAGTAGTCCAGCCAGCCTAGCCAAACCATAGCAACGAGCATAGCCAGGCTTACCTGTGTAGTCCAGCCAGCCTACACAGACCACAGCAGCAAGCATAGCCAGGCCGCACCAACGTATCTCAGCCATTCGAAGCCACGAAAGCCTAGACCAAAAAATGTACTTCCCATCATGTTGTTCGATTCTTATTTCACCAGCAATAATTTTTTACGCTTATTTGTTAACTTCAAAGATTTCAACAACAACTTATATTATGTTCTTGCGTCATAAGATTTCGTGAATATCTAAAATCATCAGAAATAATTTCTAGGTTCACTCGTGTTTCTCCAGAGTTCAAGATACATTTTCTTTCTTTGCTTCTTGAATCATTAGCTGTTTTATTTTTAGTTCGCTTATGTATACTCTGTTATTGAAATCGGGAACAATTTTCTTTCCCTTTACATCAGCGGTAATATTTTTCTTTGGGATCCCGTATTTCCCCGAGTTTGAAGGTTATTTATTTTTCATTAATTTAATTATAAGTAGTTCATTCAGCCAGACAAACCTGAGTACCTAGAAAGTCTAGCCATTCTAAGAGAATGCATTGGATACACTCGAGATGTTTTATATAAAGATGAATAATTATTCGAAAACTTCGCTGAAAATAATAGACAAAATAGAAAGTCTTCAGAAAAGAATAATAATTCTTGATATAGAAGGGAATATAATTCTTTGTGTTTGAATAAAAGCTTTCTAATTCATCACAGAATTTATTGAAATAAATCAGATTCGATTTGTCCTTGAGGGGTTAAAGAAGTTTTCAATCATGATTAATTGAGCATTTCATCGCACTTTTAATTTATATCATAACTTGAAACGCTATATAAAAATGTTTGAGGCTCAAATATAATATTCAGAGTCAACGATTTTGTATATATATACTATTGACCGTCACCGCAAACTGGCGGTCTCGGGTCGGTGACAAAGCCACAACACCAGCTTTGGCAAACTGAAAAGCGTCCACCTTGAGACCATGGTTTCGGGCTAATGGCCCTCGTCAGTGTAGGGCGGACTTTATTCCAAGAGATCCACACGGGATCAAATGGAATCTTGACAATCTGCCAAAGAGGTGTTCAGCTGGCAAAGTGGCTGGGCCAAATCTATGGCTATATCTAGTTTTGACGTCTATTTTGACGGGAGAGGCGACCTTTGACTCTTTAGATCAATATCCTTCCGGCAAAATTTCCATCTATATTTTAGCCATAGATTTGGCCCAGCCACTTTTCCAGCTAAACACCTCTTTGGCAGATTGTCAAGATTCCATTAGATCCCGTGTGGATCTCATGGAATAAAGTCCGCCCTAGACTGACGAGGGCCATTAGCCCGAAACCATGGTCTCTAGGTGGACGCTTTTCAGTTTGCCAAAGCTGGTGTTGCGGCTTTGTCACCGACCCGAGACCGCTAGTTTGCGGTAACGGTCAATAGATGGCGTCTAGTTTTGACGTATATTTTGACGGGAGAGGCGACCTTTGTCTCTTTAGATCAATATCCTCACGGCAAAATTTCCATCTATATATATATATGTTATGAATATTTTGTGTTGTTGTTAGATTAGGCTTGATAAGACAAAGGATCGATAAGATAAAGGGTTGAGGTGCAGTCGTGATAAAAAAAAAAGATAATTATTTACCGTCAAGTAGCTTTTATTTTCAATTACTTGAGGAAAGATTACACATTTGTTAGTTTCACATTATATAGAATTTATAATTTAATCCTATATTAGTGATTTAAAAGGATTGATTGGTTAACTACGCATATTTACAACAAAATTATACAACTAAAACTAAACAACTAAACTGGAAGTCTTTCTAAAAATTATGATAACAAAAATAAAATTATCAATGAATAAAATAAAGTATATATTTTTTAAAATATAGAAATATTTGAGGTTTTTAGATTATATAATATTTCCCCCCTGTGAAAAAAAGATTTTAAAATATTAAAATAAAATTGGTAATTAAAAATAATTAATTAAACGAAATCAATAAATCTATAGAAATAATTAAAAGTGAAACAATAAAAATCAATACACACATTTTTTCAAAATAAACAAAAGAAAGTTTGTTTAGAAATAATTTATATAATTATGAAATTATAATAAAAGTATATATAAGAAATATTAATGAGTGAAATAAATCAAAATGTATATGAAGCAAAAAGGTATTTAAAATTTGAGTAATTATGACATTATGGTAGTTACACTTCAAAGTATCAAAAGCAGTAGAAAATGTTATTTTTACATGGTTGAGTAATGAAACGCTAATAGATGTATGGAGTGACATTAAGTTATTTGTGAAGGCTTAAGAATTGGTGCTGATATTTGTTCTTCATTGTCCATGTCCAAAAGATGGCCTTCCTGTAAAAAACATGGTTTATCATCAATATCTATTAACTTTGTGTTAGAATTTTGATTTGCTATTGAGTCATTTTCTATGTTAGTGCTATAGTGAAGTAAAAAATCTGTTTCTGGGTAAAATAATTTAAGCTTATTTGAGTGTATAATTTCTGTTTGTTTTCTTTGGGGTAAATTGGGTTTATTAATTTCATATGTGACTGGAGAAAGTTGTTTTAAAATAGTAAATGGGCCTATATATCTTTGTGTTAATTTACCAGTGTTTGGATAAATAAAGGTTTTTACTAATACCTGATCTCCTTCTTCAAAAATGGGTTCTGGGTGTTTAATATCATAAAGTTGTTTGCTGTGTTCATGGGATTTTATGGTTCTTTCAATGGCTAATTTTCTTGCCTTTTCTATTGGGGTATGTGTTTCTGTGTCATGTTCTATATACTGTGGTTGTATTCCATAGTATAAGAATTTAGGAGTAAAGCCTGTTGTTGTATGTACTGTTTCATTATAGCTTTCAGTAATTTTAGGGATATATTTTGTCCAAGGAATCTTTAAATTAGCATTATATTCACATCTTAACCTATTAATGATAGTGGAATTTAGTCTTTCTACTTTTGCATTTGTTTCTGGATGATGAGAACTGGTGAGTAGATGCTTAACATTATTTCTTTCTAAAAAGTGTTTAAATTTTCCGCAAAGAAAAGCTGCATTTCTATCAGTTATTAATATTTCAGGCTTATTAATTTGGAATAAATTTCTTAGACAAGTTATATAAGAATCAGTTGATACAGATTTTGTTGGAAAAGCCCAAAGGAATCTACTATGGTGATATACTATCATATGGATACTGTGTCTTGTTGTCCCATAATTATGTAACCCGCCCAATGTATCTAAAGAAAAAATGTGATTTGGGTGTGTTGCTATTGGCATCTGTTGTAGTGGTCCATA